CTAATCGATGCGATCGTATCGGTCTAGTGGAGGTAATTGGCAGTAGGCGGTCTCTCAAGTAGGCGGTCTCTCAAACCAACAATCTGGATAGTTCTCTCTCTTTTTTTTACAGCCATTTTGGAAAGCATTCAAATTACCGTAATCTATTTCATTTTAAAGTTGCTGACTGCCTACTTCCCCAAGCTATGTTTGTTGCTTTTTCTATTCTACAGTATTTTCCTATTAGAACTTTGGCAGGTTAGCTTGAAAAATGAGTGATGCAGTACATCTTTCCCTTAAGATTTCATCTAACATTTATTACAACACATAAGATTTATTGGATAATTCCAAACTACAGAAACCCTTTATATGCTCAGTGCATATATAATAGTCTACTGCAGATCTAAGCTTCATACAAAAACCGAACATTTAAAAACAGTTTTTGACCTTTTGAGCGATGTGAATACAAATGCTTAAATGCATTCACTCCAGGCTGAACATTAAAACAGTCGCAGAAAAAGTTCATTATACAGCCATTTCCATTTTAATCGCTGGGTGTGGATGATAGTCTTCTATCTCAAAATCATCTGCTCTGAAGTCATTGATGTTTTCCACTTTACGAAGAATTTTGAGCTTGGGGAAAGGTCTTGGTTGCCTCTGAAGCTGAAATTTAAAAATATATACATTACATGACATAGAGTTCAATTAAGTGTTGAACTGATTGCTTATTAAATATACTTTTTATTAGTAAATTATGTAAGTTTTTTATTTAAAACAGTAAAAAAATCTATTTTATAGGACAGTGATGGCTAACCTTTTTCTCCTTGCATGCTAAAACTGACAGTGCGTGTGCGCACACACCCATAATGCAATGTGCACACACACACATACACACCGCACATGTGTGCACGCCTTCCACTGGCCATCTGATTTTTGGTCTCTGCCTGTGCTCCATTTTGGGCTTAGCAGGCCCCCCCTGAAGCCTCCTGGAATCAAAAATGGGGCACGGGGGTGTGCCCTGCTGCACCTCCCATGCTCCCCTGTGCATGACCCCCCCCATGCATGCTTGCGTGACCCCCCCATGCATGCGTGGCAGAGACCAAAAATCAGATGGCCGGTGGAAGGTGTGCACGCATGTGCGGTGGAGTTGAGCTAGGTGATAGGTCACACGCCTGGAGGGCTCGCATGCCACCTGTGGCACGCATGCCATAGGTTTGCCATCACAGTTATAGGGTAACATAATACATAATTGTACCTGATGTGCCAGTAGCAATTCAACAGCTTTAAAAATGCTACACTATTAAATTGTAAGCCACTGCATTTTGCAACAACCGAAGGTACCAAGTGGTTTTCAAAAGTAGGCCCAAAGACAGCACATTGTAATAAAGCAATCACAAAGTAATTGGGACATAAATGGAGCCAAACACTCCACCTTTTTTTTGTTGCAGTAACCATTAATCCAGGATATCCATAAAGCTACAGAGGGTCACAGACAAGCTTCTTCCAAGGTAGCACAACCCTTTCCAGATCTAGAAAAGAAGTTGCCAGAAAACCTAAAGATTTCTAGGCCAGTGTTCAGTTTTGTTGGGAAACAACTTTTGTTTATTTTGACCCATTCAGATCCTGATAGCAGAAGTCTCACTGCATCTCTTTTCCAACCTAGACTGGAGTTAGAAAAATATTATCTATATAATGATTATGCTAACATGTTATCTCCTCCAATTGCAGTGTTGCAATGAATTGTTGATAATGTCAAGCACTACTGACAGATTTAAAAGTTATACGTCATCCAGGTTCTGATGGAAATGAGGAGTATTCAGTACACATGCTTTTAATATTAAAACAACAATGAGAATAATCAACTGATATAATTACCTGTATTTTCAAGGGTTCAATATGGTTTAAATATATATGAGCATCTCCTAATGTATGTATAAATTCACCAGGCTATATAAAAAAAGAGTATTATTTAGTGATGAATTAAGAATAAACAGAAGAAATATGCTGCTAGACAAGTTTTGTTTTCTGAATGTACTGTCATTATTCTCTATACCCCCGTTTGTTCATACTCTGAAAGTATATCTTTACATCTATGTCGTAGCTTTTCTGAGAACCAAGGTTGCTTAAATAGAGCCTTCCCTCATTTTATCATCTACTACAGCATTAACCAAGGGAGATAGATTGGGCTAGGACAGAATTCCCATCCAGGTATTCATCTGATACATGGGGAGAGAACAGGATTATGCAATTCTCTCTCCAAGCTCTAAGCAGTAGAACTGTGCTCATGTTTTGTTGAATTCAAGTGCAAGTTTCCTAAACAGATCTCACCTGTTTGGGAAAGAAGAGCAGTCTCATTCAATCCCTATTTTTCTCATACAATGTCTTAAATCACCCAATATGTTCTATTTAGGGAACTTAATCCTGCACCAACAAGTTCCAACTCCTTACTACATAGATTCATAGTAGGACTGCATCTTCCTTTTTCTGAATCAAGTTTGAATGTGTATTTCATTTTTCCCACTTCCACAATCCATCAATCTTTGTCATGTAGTGATTGCTTTTATTTCAGTTATTGCAAATACTGCAATGAATTTTGCAGATAAGCAAAAGTTTATAAGATATGTAATTCTGTCCTGTTACATAGAGGTTTCAATACTGCCAACAAGGCTTTTTCCTCCCTTACCACTCATCTTTATACATCTTCACGAAGCGGAACCAAATTCCTTCTGCATCTCACCATACTTAAGCCTCAGTATATAATTTTTTCCAACTGAGGCAAGTGCCAGATGTTGAATGCACTGTTAAGTATCATAAATAGAACAATTCAGTCTACCACTAAAGCACATAAACTATTTCCCATGAAAATTGGGGGTGCTTGTGCTCAATTGTTCATAAATACATAGTACCAAACTGTACCCATTGCAAATACCATGTCTTTTACAGTAAGCATAGGAAGTGGAATTCAAATGGCTATACAATTTTCTCATGCTAGCTAATGTTTTTCAAGTAGAAATACCAGAACATTTGCTGATGCTGTTAAGCTCTCATTCTTCAGAGTAGTATAAAGTGCTGCCAGAATTTACCTCTCTGTTGTCTTTCTGAAAATATTGATAGTTTCACTCGTTGCCAAACTAGTTTTAACCCTGAGATTTGTTTATGTTTTTCCTTACTTCCAATGAAAATAAGATAAGAATACCTTCAGGCCTGTAACATGGGCAATCATTGAAGTAAGAAGTGAGTAACTAGCTATGTTGAAAGGAACTCCCAGTCCCATGTCTCCAGAACGCTGATACAACTGACAAGAGAGTTCACCATTTGAAATGTAAAATTGGCAGAGAGCATGGC